GCGTGGCAAGTCTCAATTTTAGCTCAAGTTGTGATTACCAGGCGTTGGGTCGAGTTTTGTTGCATTTGGAGTCAAATCGAGGAAGTTAGAGTTCGGCAATCGGCGCTTGAGAGGCAATCGGGAAGAGTTGGAGAACATTCGAGAGAGATTTGAGAGTTTTGGAGGCCACCGGGAGGTTCACGGCGAAGATTCAAGGAAGAAACGGCCTTTGGATCGATCAAAAAAGCATCCGGGAGCATTTGGAGCAAGAAAAGACAAGATTTGAAGAAGAAAAAGGGCAGGCACGGTCGTGCCTGGCCTTAGGCACGCCGTGCCTGCAGTGTTAGAGCGTACCTGGTCGCAGGAAAGCCAGGCACGCCGTGCCTGGCTTTTAGGCACGGTCGTGCCTGCAGAAGAAAAATGTACCGGGCTACTGAAATGTCCAGGCACGCCGTGCCTGGACCCGAAATTACGAAACACGGGCTTGCTCCGCAGGCATGGTCGTGCTTGACCCCTGGGCACGTCATGCCTGGCCCCGTTTTTAGTCCTAATTCAACCCAAACTCATCTTTTTCTATAAATAAGGCCTCCCTTCTCCTATTTTGAGGTTATGAACATTACGGAGAGGCCTAGGGACGAATTTAACATCATTTTTACGCTATTTTACTCCAAGAACCTGGGATTCTTTGTAAGTTCATCTTTTTAATTAATTACAATTATTTCTATTCATCCCAATTGTGTCGATTCTTCAATTATGAATAGTTTAATTAGGGGTTTGGGATTGATGAAGGGGTTAATCATGATGTATGGCTAGATTCTTGATGGATTAATTGCATGAATGCCGTTTAATTTGTGTTTGAATAATTTAACTGATATCTCTTGTAACCTAGAACGCGCGCTAGAATTACAATTGCTTGTAGAATAAGGTAAGAGAGATCTAATTTATTCTAGGACACATTCACACACACTTAATCGTTCGCTAAGAGATTAGTAGCGATTAAGGGGCCGTATGCTCGCTCGTCTCGGCAATAATTTAGGATCCTGTTGCATGAGAGATCAGCCTAGTCCCCTAAATTATTGTACTCTACGCCGCGAGAGCGGTAAGAACTTAGTAATGATTAGCTAGGCTCAATTAAATTAATTTCATGTAATAAAGCTGAAGAAACAGTTGCAAGACTTCAAGCAAGGTTCTTTGGAGACATTGGCTGAAGAGTGGAAGAGGTTTAAGGTGCTAAGAAGAGCTTTCCCTCAAGGCAAGATGAGCGACTGTGAGATTCTATTTTGCTTCTACAGCAGACTCAACAATGAAGGGAAGATGATGCTTGATGCTTCGGGTGGTGGAGCATCAAAACACCCGAATGTTTAATTAAGCTTGATTAGTATTTATATTTGTTTAACAATACCCGAATGTTGTTCAGGTATCCCCCGTTCGGGACATCTTGGGCCTTTCTGATTTTGTTGGGCTTCCTGTTTTCCCTGGTCCTTCTCCATACTTTGGGCCGGGTATATTGGGCCTGGACCCAATATCCCAACAAATGTAAATATAATAATGTCCCGTGCATCGCACGGGTATAATACTAGTTTTAATATAGCCACTCGATTTCAATTTATCATACACAATAATTAAGTTTTCAATTGACCTTTGTAATTTGTAGTATTTTATTTTAAAACATATGGGAGGCTGCAAATATTATTTTGGAGGCTTTATTTAGAAGAGTAATTTGAGTTTGCACCCCATTTTAATGTTCAAATTGGAGTTTACACAACGTTTTTAGAAATCTTAGTTTTTGAACCCCAACCCCATACGAAAAACAAAAATGTCCTCGATCAAGAATATGTTGAAGATCAACAAAATTGTTAATCGAGTGACATTTTTATCTTTTCACACGGATTTGAAGCGCAAAAACAAATTTCTTTAAAAACGGAAGACAAAGTCAAATTTAAAATTACCCAATGAATAGTTGCTAGTAAGGTTGTAAACAAATCAAATAATTTGTGCTCGATTCGCGATTCGAATTCGTATAAGACGATTCGAATTTGGAAAATTCAAATACAAATAAGAATATTAAATTTGATTCGAGTTGTTATCAAATACAAATAAGAATATCACTGTATTTGATTCGAATATTACGGCCTGTTTGGATTGAGTGTTGAAGAGTGTTAGTAATGGAAGTGTTAGTAAGTGTTGATGCTAACACTTGTTTGGGAGAAAAACCCAGAGGTGTTAAGAAGTGTTAGTAATGGTCAGGAAGTGTTAATAATAACCTTCCCAACACCTCAATTGTCCATTTTTTAACACCCCGATTTGGAGTGTTTTGAGGTGTTGGACAATTATTACCCTTCTCATTTGCCCGAAAAACATAAAATGCTTCGACATTTCACTTCAAATGTCTTTCCCACGGGTCTGATGGTTTGTTTTTTCATCTCTTCTCTTTACTCTTTCTTTACTCTTTCTTTAACACTTTCATTATTAACACTTCATTCATTTGACTCTCCCAAACAAGGTAAAATTATGTCTAACACTTACACTTTCCTTCTCTTCCGAACCCTTACTAACACTTACTAACACTTCCATTACTAACACTTCCAAACACTCCATCCAAACAGGCCCTTAATCAAATATATTCGATTAACAATAATGGTAACATTAATATCAATATTAATAATAATAGTAATAACACTATAATAACTTTTAAAAGATAGCAATACCATCAAAGTATAGCCCATACATACATTTTTGCATACAGATTCCAAGCCTATTTGTAATAAACCAAAATATAAATACGAATACAAATCAATTTTTTGGTTCAAATGTCTTTCAAATACAATACAAATAATTTTGTATTCGATTTGAAGAATAAAATTAGAGTTGTTTGACTTTGATGTATACAATTATCTACTTATTTCACAAATTATATGTATAATTTCTAATGTCTGTGTTCGTGATTATTTCAAAAAGTTTGAAATAGATTTATATTTGTTTTGGATGAAATAGATTTATATTTATTAATCATAAAATTAATTCACTTTAGTATATTGTGCACCATCTAAAAATGCATTGATCCATTAAATTTAAATTCTAACAACACACATTAGGTAATAGCGTGCATTTACAAAATAAAAAATACGGAGTATAAGAATAGTTATTTTAAAGTGATATTTGTCAAATATCTAACATATGCTCAAATCGATTCGATATTCGTATATGATTCGTTAACTATTTGTATGGTTAAACAAATATAAATACAAATCAAACTCAATATTTGTTTCATATTTGAATTTGAACTCGTATTAGAAAAAATTAAACAAATACAAAATCGTATTATTCGACTCGATTCGGTCACTTAGGGAGTGTTTGCAATTGCTTCAACTTTAAAAAAGTGATTTTTTAAAGTGATTTTTGGAAAAGTGATTAATAGTAAAAGTTGGTAGTGTTTGAGAAAAAAGTGATTCTGGAAAAGTAAAAGTTGGTAGTGTTTGGTAAAATAAGTACTTTTTGTGTAATAGAAAAAGTAAGAAGCAATTTAAAGCACCCTCTACCTGCTTCCAGCTTTTAGCTTTTAAGTAATTAATTTAAGCAGAAGCTCTCATTTGAAAACACTCTTTTCAACTTTTTTGGGGTTTTTACTTGGATATTACTAATTTTGAACCATTTACCCAAAAAGTGACCACTTTTAAACAGGGGCAAAAAAGTGATCAAGAAGGTCATATATGTGCAATTAGAAAACATGATGTAACTGCAAAAATTTTATGTCACTGTGTTCGTTTTTTTTGTAACTACAGCCACCACCCGTGTCACTGTAGCCACCGTCCGTGTCACTGTAGCCACCGCCCGTGTCACTGTAGCCACCGCCCGTGTCACTTTAACCACCGCCCATGTCACTTTAGCCACCGCCCGTGTCACTATCGCCGTCGACCACAGTGAGACACCATAGTGACACCACAGTCAGCACCGTCGAATTACCTCCGTGCAACGCTTCAACCAATGACCACCGTTTAGTCCCCTCCCCATGCCCCTCTCCACCCGAGACACGACCCGAGTCAACCCTAGCCCCAGATAAACAGAGCTGTGACAACCATCACCCCAGCTCCAGCCGCCAGCGGCGGCCTCTACCCCAGTCCCGGTCCCCTGCTTTCCCAGTCCTCCCACGGCTTCCAAGCCTCCATGAATAATCAAAAACACCAGCCACCATCTCAACACAAGCTGCCAGACCCCAACTTTAGCACCATCCTTGAGCCCTGGTTAATCACTGCCGCACCACTATGCCTGACGTGGGAACAGCCGCCCCACCCCACAAGCTCAGGTCCCTGTCAAGCCCCATCCCTATCCCCTAGACCCCAGCCCCACCGCAACTGAGTTACCCAGCACCCTAGCCTACAAACCACGCCATAGCTTCTGGCACGAATCCAGATTTGGAAGAGCAAAAAAGCAAAAGCCTTCAAATCCAAGCGAAATCCAGATTCTGTGGGAGCGGAGGCGAGGCTACAAAGACGAGGTCCCCCAATCGGTCCAGAATCACAGATTTGGAGTGAGAGGCGTGGAGGCTGACAGAGGCGGCAACGTCAGACGCCGGCAGCGGCAGCGATTTTTTTTTTTTGCTTTGAACAGTGGCGGTGATTAGAAGCTGGAGCCGGTGCGATCTGAAGGCAGCGATGGTGCGATGGCCGAGTGCGGCGGTGCGATGGGCGACTGCGGAATTGCGATGGCTGACTTCGGAGCTGCGAAGGGCGACTGTAGAGCTGCGGAGGACAGACGAAAGATCAAACGCGATGGAGAAGAACGGATCCGCTGGGTCACTTCTTTTTTACTGTTACTGGGTCACTTTTTTGAGAAAACTCAAAGTGATAGTATCTTTGTCCAATGAAACTTGGGGAGTAATATCTATACCATTCTTTCAACTTTTTTTTAAGCCAAAAGCTGAAAAGTGCGTTTTTTAAGCAAATCCAAACACTCCTTTACCGTGTTTAGAACTTGGGCTCCTCCAGAGGCCCTGAATTTAAAAAATGAAAACGGCCCAAGCAGAGCACCAAAGTCAGGCCTGTAGCGGTAAATCAACGAAACAGAGAACTGTAGAAGCAAAGAAGCAGCGAACTAGCGAAGCAGACAAGTAGAGACCTGCTGCCACTCACGCCGGCCGACGTTCGCCACTTCGCCGGAAAGCTCGGAATCAGCCTAGTCGTCACGGCTTCGCCCTCCGGCCTCCACCCTTGCCTGCTCTCTGAGCCAGTAGTCTTCCAATTTTCAGTTATGCATTTTACTTTCAGCTTTATTATTGTTATGTACTACGTATTTTATTAGTTTAGCTATATGCCTTTATTTATGGAATTTTAGGGTCTCTGTCATTTTGTTATTAACATGCCTCTAATTATTTAGTTCAGTTTTATCCTTCTTACTTTCGTCTCTTTTACTTGATCATTTTTTTAATTTGTGCGTATTCACTCCACAGTGAGGAAGCTTGAATAAATGCTGCAACTTTCCGTCAGCTGCCTCTCTGTTCAGTCCTCTACTTCACTAATTCTGTGTCCCCGTTCGCCATTATGTTTAAAACCCCAAAGTTCTTTCCTCCCAAAGACACTTGAATGGAATTCCTGGAGATCTTTTGCAATTGGACATTCTCCATTACTATCAAGATCGAGGAAATCAATCTGCAGACCGCTCTTGGGGAAATACGTCAGTGAAGATTACCTGGTGGTATGTATAGAAACAACATTGTATATTTTTGTTTTTGGTTGGTATTATGTGCATTTTAATGGACAGAGTTTATGCAGAAGAAACTGTCAGCCAAAGAAATTGAAGAGCTGATAAAGGGAGAAAGGAATGTGCCCCTAATAATCGATTTCTTTGCCACATGGTGCGGCCCTTGTATACTTATGGCTCAGGAACTTGAAATGGTAAAAAGGATTAGATTTGCTGTCTGCAAGTACAATATCTAGATTGTTTTTCTTTAATCACATACATTAAAAGAGTTTGGTGAATGAAACATGGATAAACTTCAAAAATATGACTACGGAATTGTTTGCAAAAGATCAAAAAAGTGTTTTTCAGTTTTTTGCATCCTTCCACTTGCTTAAAAAAGTTGAATTGGTGTATTTTAGTGATAGTTTTTGCTTAAATTAATTACTTTAAAGCTAAAAGCTGAAAGCATGGTGGAAGGATGCCTTTTTATTAATAAAGAAGTACTTTTTAACAAACAATACCAACTTTACTTTCAAAATTACTTTTTCTTCAAACACTATCAACTTTTATTATTAAGCACTTTCCTAAAAGTCACTTTTTAAAGTAGAAAGAACCGCGAACACTTCCTAAGTATGTTTGATTTCCAAAATAGGATAATAATAAAACAATAAGTACTTTTGAAAAATTGGAGTAGGATGAAAACAATAATACTCCTATTTTAGAATTGTGCTATACTGCTATATTTTACTCCTATTTAGGAAGTTTTGTGTTACATTAAATCATTAATACGTGATGTTGATGGAAAGTTTGTACTTCATTTGCTTTGTTAGTTTCTCTGTGATCCCTAATATCCATTACAATGACACAATCGGGTAATATTGGAAAGTGCTTGCTCATGTAATCAGCTTTCTCACCAGGGAATCTGCATATTGTCTCCTGTTTCTTTTAAGCAGTGTTAGAAAAATCTAGTAGTTAATGAGATAGTGTGATTGTAAATTCTTGTCGAATTTGGTCCTTTGCAAAACAGTTTTTAGTTGATATTTGTTTTTTTATTGAAGAAAGTACCGCAGGCTTAAATTTTGAATGTACATCTAACCACCATTTGACCCTAAATAAATAAATTAGGGAATCCCTGATCCGCACCACCACACGTTTTTTGATTTTTTCGACCCCATATTCTCATAAAGGGTAGCTTGGTGCACGAAGGCATCCTCACAAGGGGAAGGTCCGGGAAAGGGTTCTAGTGTCCTACCACAAGGGTGTATAAGGAGCAAGCCTTCTATTGTCAAATTTTTGACAAAAGACTGCTCCCAAGACATGAGACACATTTACTTCACAGGTTATTAAGCGATGCTTATTAAGACTTGCGTTAATAAGAGTCACATAAAATAAGCGATGCTATAAGCTCATATTTACTTCACAAGATTTAAAACACCGTTTAACATTAAAATGTCCAAAATAACCCTATACATGTATAGAATACAAACATTTATGTACAAAAGTACATATATAATACGTGGAGGCCTACCCCCTACCCCTACTCTCCAACCACCCATACCCCATACCCAACCCTACCCCTACCCCCTATTCCAACACTACACTACCCCTACCACCCCTATCACGACCCAACCGTACCCTACCAAAACCCGTGCATACCTCCTACCCCAGCCTACCCTCACCCTACCCCTACCCTTACACCTACCTGACCCGTTCCCTTACCTTACCCCTTGATAGGGGGTGGGGTATAGGTAGGCAGTAGGGGTTAGCAGGTCGGTGTAGGGGTATGAGTACGAGGTAGGGGTATGGTGGGTAGGGATAAGGGCACGGGGTTCGGGGCTCAGGGTAGAGGGCATGGGTAAGGGGTACGAGTACGGGGGACGGGTAAGGGGCGGGGTAGGAGTAGGGGTAAACGGGTAGAGGAAAGGGTAGGGTACATGCACTGGCTCGGGGTGGGGGTTAGTCGTAAGGGTGAACATACGAGGTAGGGGAGGAGTAGGTGTTATATGGGGTACCGGGGATGGGTAGGGGGTTGAGTCGGGGTGGGGTCTGGGTAATGTAGGGTAGGGTGGGGGTAGGGGTGGGTAGGGGTATGCGTAACAGTAACGGGCAAGGGGTAAGGGTAATTTTAAATTCGGATTTGAAAAAATTTAGAGTGCCGCTTAATTAATACAATAAATGAGGTGTTATGCTTAGTAAGCGACACTTAAAGCACCTAATTGGGTTAGTAAGCAACTTTTTAAACGACATGTGTGTTTACTTCACCTATCTTAATAACCTAACTGTAACTTTAACAGCGAAGTAAACACGCCCTTAATCCCATGACATCTCAGCCACACAGCAACACCTTAACCAGTGCACCAACGCTCTCCTCCGAATATTCTCATATTGGACAAAAAATGAATTATGAGACAGAATGTTAGAATGGTTGCTACATAAACATTTCTGTGCTACCTAAACTCTAAAAGATCAATACCAAATATACCTTTTCCCTCTATTTATTGTTTAATGCAACAATGGGGCACATTGGAGCATCCTATGATCCTGTCATATTCGATAAATACGTGTACTTCTTTTTGGACATCATATGTTGATTTTACCCACAGCTTGCTGTAGAGTACGAAAGTAAAGCACTCATTGTGAAGGTTGACACAGATGAGGAATACGAATTTGCCAATGATATGCAGGTAATCATAATGCCTAATCCGTTTCTCTTCTCCTAAGAAGGATGAAAGACACTCCATTGTAATGGGTTGGAATTTATTAATAATGACTTGAAAAATTTATTCACAGGTCCGAGGATTACCCACAATGTACTTCATCAGCCCAGATCCAAGGAAAGATGCAATCAGAACTGAAGGGCTCATCCCAATACAAATGATGAGAGATATCATTGATAAAGAAATGTAAACCATTGTAGTTTTCCTCTTCTCTCAGGAAGTTTCTGTACCTTTGCTCTTGTCTATGATGCTGTATTATGAGGTATTGAATTCAATTAGAACATCTCCAGTTCAATGATAATAAAGGCCAAAAAGCTCCAACCCAACATCAGTTTCGCAGTACAGTGTTAAATTCGTCATCATCTCAGGTTTGTTTACTTATGTAGTCTCCATTTGTATGCACCCATACTTGCTAGGAGTAGGGGTTAACCCGGAATCAGAACCAGAATTCGTTTAGTCAGGATGAGGATTAATTTCCTTCAACAAAGAAGGTTTAGTGTTGGGGGCTTATTTGCTTATCTTCCCTAGGTACTGTACTACTCTTAGGCATGGACCGGTCCCGGACTGGCCGGTCTTGGCCGGTCTTGGGGGGTGGGGCATGTTGAACCTAGATCGCCACTGGTTATTGCGGTTCCAGTCCCCTCCAGATGAAAATTTTAAAACATTTTAAAACCCTCCGGACCCCTCTCTCTACTCTTTTGTAGCTTATAAATGGATTTACACCTTTTTCATCAACTCATAAATGGATTTACAGCTCTTTTAAAAAATAATACAAAAATAAACTGAATCGGTACCGGACTGGCCGGTTGCGGTCTTAAAATACACATTCTGGGACCGGCACCCCTGAACCGCCCTCAGGGCAGGTCTCCTAACTGAACTGCCCAAATGGTACCGGTTCGGTCTCAGGAACCTGCCGGTTCCAGTTGCGCCTGTTTTATCATTACCTCTAACCTTTATTTCAACCGTATCCAAAGTTTCCAACCTAGCTTTTAAGAACCCATCCTACCTTGCCCATTCCATTCATATTCATCTACAGACAACATATGGGTTGAAGATTTGAATCTCTTTTTGCACTTTGTCTTTGTTAGCATTCCTTTTGTTAGTATGTGCGAATATACTTTTGCAGTTCAATAAATTATTGTGTTCATAGTTTTATCAAGGCTAAGTTTTACCACAACAATCATACATCTTTTATAGAGAAGATAGGGGGCCATACTAAGGCCCCAGGCCATTCCAAAATAAAAAAACATCAATTATTAGCCCCTGATTGTAGCCTATATGAATCGTAATTGAATCGTGATAATTTTTTTTAATCAACAACAAATAACAAAAATGGTACAACAAAAATGGTCCCAAAAGAGTTTTAGGTCAATTAATCTGAATGGACACATGAAATAAAAAATAAGAATGATAAGATAAAATAAAAAAAGATAAGATAAAGATATTACAAAGATTAGTTAAAGATCAAATTGATAAGATAATTTGATTAATTAATTCTTTCCCTGACTTGATATGAATCCTTCCAATATGATTTAAACTGATTGGAGTAAATAGAGATTATTTGGAATGAATAGACTTTTGCTGTTGAATCTCAGTGCAAGAAGTATCCATGATCCATCTCGTAATATTTCCAATGTGATGAAGAAAGCTTAAACGGATAAAAAACCAGCAGTATATGATTAAAATCAAAGACTGCAACTCTTTGGAGTCAACTCGGGGCTGTTTTTTAATTTCATTGTAATACACACTATCCTTTAATATTTGGTAAATGAAGTCTGAATATGAGTTTAAAATGTATATGATCTTTTTAAAGAGATAAAAAGGCTTAAACGAATAAGATACAATAATTAGATATGACCAAATCAAGTAACTACTAGTGAAAATCTAGTTAGGACTAAGAGCCTATTTGGTAATCTCTATTTTCATTTATCAGCTTCATCATTCAACATGTTTTACTAAACAGTTAGTTTTTGCTCTCGCACGTTGAATTATATAATAATCAAAATAAATATTGTTGAAATTACTTTTTTTGGCTGAAGTCACTGTAAATAAGGTTGAAATCTGAGCAGATTCAGCCGACTTCAAAGTTACCAAACGGGCCCTAAATTATACTAGGTGTTCAAATGTTCAACCTCATTCACAAGTAATCAATATAGTATACTATATATACTGGGAAATTCTTGTAGAAGAATACAACCCTTAGGCCCAACAAGGCCTCACACTACTAACTCAATAAATACACTCAAAGAAATCAAAGTGTATTTGTTTGAAGAATGGGCCGGGTCTCTTATCTGATTGGATCTTGGAGGCTGTAGCAGGCCAGCCTATTCATACGCACCATATCAATTCCTCAAGAGACGTGCCCGAAGTAACGCTGCTGCGACATTTGGGAACGCCGACGAGGCGGTCCCACAGGAAAACGTGAATGAGGATAGGCATCTTTGCATGGCGATGCAAAGACAGCTTTTGGCTAACTGATACGGTGTCGTAGCATCGGATGGCGCCGGTCGGGGAAACCATCCAGGGGAGAACCTTCTGATGCGAGATTTTGGAAACTACTAGAAGCTTCTTCCTTCTACTTGCTTCCATGAACAGGTCTCCCAGACCAGATTGTGCGGATGATGCATATTCATCCCCTTCTAGAACCGATGATATGTATATGAATCCCTACATTCAATTAGTTGTGCAAATTCAATTAAGGGGTGATAGTAACAACAAATGTTATTCTATGTATATGTGGAATAAATTCTATTTTTAGTCCTAGAGAGTATTGGGTAGATTCCACAATTAGTTCATGTTCTTTGATTTTGATCACCTTTGATACATGACTATTGTGTTTTCGCCCATATATGGTCATTTTGGAAATATTTTCGATGGTTAAAAAGCCGGAGAAGGATCACAAGTGGTCAATAAACAATAATCAAGTACCAAAAGTATACAAATATAAACACGTGGAATAAATATGAAAATCACTTAAAACTCAGTGAAATTAATTCAAAACTCGTAGCATGTACTAATAATGTTTTTAGACGGTGATGATGGACGAACCTCATGTGTTCGACTGATAGAAAATCCCAATTTGGTGTCATTATCTTTGATTTTGATTTCGATGGGAAATTCTGCTGTAAGAGGGGAAAACCATAGCCTAACAGCTCTTACAACACCGATATCTACGCCATGGTAATCTTCAAACCCGTACAAGCTTGCATTTGCAATATTTGACAAATCAGAAACCAGCGACCCAGTTTGTACACTACAAGAAGCCATCTCTCCAGATATCTACACACAATAATATTATAAATCCTTAACTAATTTAAACACAGATTATTGGCTTATATGTTGCGTGCCGAGTTTATTTTCTATAGAGTACTCCTGTCCCATTGGACAATGCTACTTTGACGATTCGTGTGTGAAATAAGAAAGCTAAAAACTGTATGATTGAGATTTGTGCAGATCGAAAATAGAAATAAGGAGAACCATAATTTTAAAGGCAAAATCCAATGAGATAGAAAGAGTATTTACGAACTAGAATGACAAATTATACCACAACCGGGGAAGGAAACACGTGAAATACTAAATTTATGTATAGGTACCTTAGTGAGGAGGGATTCAGTCTGGATATTGATGAGGACGATTGGGACGCCGGAAGCTTGAGAAGCGCTGAGCCAGGTATTGGCTCTGGCAATGGTGTCATCGATATCGCTGTATCCGATTGTGGATTTGTGGGTGGCTATGGGCAAGAAGAGCATGGAGTAAGAGGTGCGGGAGTTGGGCACTCCCGCCGTCTCCGCCGCTCTCCTCGGCCATTGATACGATACAAATCCATTCTGAATCGGTGTTGCTCGCAACGCATCCATCATTCTTGCCGTTCTCGAAACTGCATTAATTAGTAGTCATGACTTGTTTGATCAAACTAAAGTGCACAGACACATACAGATATAATACTCCGTAGCAAAATATATATATATATATATATATATATATATATATATATATATATATATATATATATATATATATATATATATTTATATATATATATAATACTCCGTAGATCTTTTCAAATTAAGTTCTCTTATTGATGAATTGATGATGCAGTTAATTTGCACAGTATATTATTTTTGAAGTATCAAATTTCCAAATTTGATATTAATAATTTGATAAAGCCAAGTTAAATCTTTCTTGGCTATTTTAAGATTTTTTATTAATAATTGAAGATTACATAGAAACTACCCTAAGAACTAAATTATTGAGTCACAAAAACCAAACTCAAATGTACCCAAAAATCTAAGATCTCATTTATTGATTTGTATATTTATATTTATATTATGTTGGTGCGGTAACAAGGTTTTTATAATACGGAGATTTAATGGCTTTCTAGATCACTTGTAGAAGTGTATATTATGTAGGAGTGTTTGCAACTGATTCTGCTTAAAAAAACACTTTTGGATATGTAAGGAAAAAGTGAGTAGTAGTAATAGTTGATAGTGTTTGAGAAAAAAATGATTTTGAAAAGTAAAAGTTGGTAGTGTTTGGTAAAATTAGTGCTTTTTGTGTAATAGAAAAGGGAAAAAACACTTTTCACACGTAAACCGAGAAAAAGTAAAAATTGGTAGTGTTTGATAAATAAGTGCTTTTTAAGCCAAAAGATGAGAAGTGCTTTTTTTAAGTTGTTACAAACACTACCTTAGAGGCAAGTAGCGCTAACTGTGTCGTACACCAAATTTAATATAAACCACAGTTTACTTGCTAGAAACATGTATAAAATTTTGTATGAAAAAGCATGGGAGATTTACGATGGGCAGATAATTGGGAAAATTTGTAGAATATGACTAAGGCTTTGTTTGCAAGTGCTTGTGCTTAAATAAAAGTACTTTTTGGGAAAAAGTGATTAGTAAAAGTTGGTAGTGTTTGGTAAAATAAGTGCTTTTGTGTAATAGAAAAAGTAAAAAGTAGATTCTACACGAAAACCGAGAAAGTAAAAGTTGGTTGTGTTTGATAAAATAAGTGCTTTTTTCTTAGAAAAAAGTCACAATCACTTAAATTAAGGGGTTGCAAACAGAGCCTAAAACACACGAAGTATTTAAATTTTCAAAATATGACTACATTTATTTAGTCATTCGTGTAACTAAAAAGTAAAAGAGAATAAAAATCCGTCATATTAGAGAGGATTGTAGGATGAAAATACCCTTATAAAGAAAAAGGGAATTTTGCACTAATTTCGTCAAATTAAATATAAACTTGATTTCTCGATGGCATTACACTTCATAATGGTGTTACTACTCGGCATTAACACCTCTTTTGGGAATCATTGTCTTTCAT